AAAAAAAGATCAATCAATCAAACAAAAAAGCCTGACGGACAGTCAGCTTAAAACTAATTTGTCCTGACGTGGATCAGCCGCAAAGATCCGTCAGCTGCGTGATGAAGGAAAGACCACAACCAATAACTCTCGAGGAATATAGAAAAAGAACCAGCAGAAAGACAACAGATGAAATTACCATTCCAAAAGCACAAAAGCCAAAAAGAAGAGGAGGTTACATGCAAAAACTAAAACGGGAGAAGGCAATCCTACTAAGAACAGTTAATACAAGGCCGCCACCACCATGGGATGCAGCAACTAAAATATGGAGTAGAATCTCAGAGGTAGAATTCCTGATGGAGCAGTATTTAGTAAATAGAAAGCAAAATTAAAAAAAAATAATAAAAAATATAAATTATATTATAAGCAAACAAAAACTGATGTGCGTCAATCCGCACTCATAGGGCCAGTAAGCGAATTTTCGCTCGTGGCAAAAATATTTTTTTTTATATACATATACAATACATTTCTTAAGTTACTTTCTTACTTTTTAAAAAATAAAAATAAAAAAAATAACACAAACCAACAAAACCAACAACCACATGATCAAGTGAATTGCAGCGGAATAGCTGCGCTTGATTGTGTTGGCATAACAAAAAATGAAAAATAGTGGAAATAAGCAAACGATAATTTACAAGGCGTCTTAGCACGGTGCATAGGCAACTGGCTGAGTCAGTGGGATCGTCGGTTCGAATCCTACTGAAAGAAGTCTGATGAGGAAATGTGGTGATTTCCGAAATAACTATCACTTCTACCATTTTTTCAAATTATTGTTGCTTTTCCACAATAAATTTGCATTTAAAAAATGGCCTTGAGCTCATTATAAAAAATTGTTGAAAAAAAAAAAAATTTGTTATGCCTTTTTTTTTAAATATTAAGCCAAAATTTTATCAATAAAAATAAATAAATCTTAATTAAAAATTTACTAAAATAAGAATTAATTAAAAAAAAAAGAGGGTTATCTTCTTCTTAATTGGCGCTGAAACCGCCTAAGCGATTTTGGCCGAGTCCAAAACAGCACGCCAGTCATTTCTCTTCTGTGCTAACTGACGCCAATTGGAAATGCCAAGTGAAGCCAAGTCCTTCTCCACCTGGTCTTTCCAACGCAGAGGAGGCCTTCCTCTTCCTCTGTTACCAGCATCGCGGCCCGCGTTGAATACTTTCAGAGCAGGAGCGTTTCTGTCCATCCGAACGACATGGCCAAGCCAGCGGAGCCGCTGAATTTTAATTCGCTGCACTATGTCTATATCGTTGTAAAGCTCATACAGCTCATCGTTAAATCGTCTGCGATATTCGCCATCACCAACGCGTAAAGGTCCGTAAATCTTTCGCAGAATCTTTCTCTCGAAAACTCCAAGAGCCGCCTCATCAGATGCTTTCATTGTCCATGCTTCCGCGCCATACACCAGCACAGGCATGATGAGTGACTTATAGAGTGTGATCTTTGTACGACGAGAGAGGACTTTACTTCTCAATTGCCTACTCAGCCCAAAGTAGCATTTGTTGGCAAGAGTGATTCTCCGTTGGATTTCAAGGCTGACATTATTATTGGTGTTAATGCTGGTTCCCAAATAAACGAAGTCGTCTACTTTTTCAAACTTGTAACTGTCAACAGTGACGTGGGTGCCAAGACGCGTATGCTCTGACTGTTTGTGTGATGACAGGAGATACTTCGTTTTGTCCTCGTTCACCACCAGACCCATTCGCTTTGCTTCTCTATCCAATCCCGAGAAGGCAGAACAGACGTAGCCCTTGTTTTTACCGATAATATCGATGTCGTCGGCATACGCCAGCAATCGTACGCTGTTATAAAGTATTGTGCCTGAGCGGTTCAGTTCTGCGGCTCTTATTATCTTCTCCAACATCAGATTAAAGAAATCACACGAAAGGGAGTCCCCTTGTCTGAAACCTCGTTTGGTATCAAACGGCTCGGAGAGGTCCTTCCCTATTCTAACGGAGCTGATGGTATTGCTCAACGTCATTTTACACAGCCGTATTAGTTTCGCGGGGACACCAAATTCAGACATCGCGGCATAAAGGCAACTTCTCTTCGTGCTGTCGAAAGCGGCTTTGAAATCGACAAATAGATGGTGTGTGTCGATCCTATTCTCGCGGGTCTTTTCCAAGATTTGGCGTATTGTGAATACCTGATCTATGGTGGATTTTCCAGGCCTAAAGCCACACTGATAAGGTCCAATCAGCTCGTTGACGGTGGGCTTCAGTCTTTCGCACAATACGCTCGATAAGACCTTGTAACCTATGCTTAGAAGGCTAATTCCGCGGTAGTTGGCGCGTATGGCGGGGTCGCCTTTCTTGTGGATTGGGCAGAGCACACTTAAATTCCAGTCGTCGGGCATGCGTTCATCTGACCATATTCTGCATACGAGCTGATGCATGCACCTCATCAGCTCCTCGCCGCCGTACTTGAATAGCTCGGCTGGCAGGCCGTCAGCTCCAGCAGCTTTGTTGTTTTTCAGCCGCGTAATCGCTATCCGTACCTCGTCATAGTCAGGCGGTGGGACAGCTACTCCATCATCATCGACTGGGGACTCGGGTTCGTCTTCCTCACTACTTTCAGCGCTGCTACCATTCAGTAGGTTATAAAAGTGTTCCCTCCACAATTTAAGTATATTCTGGACATCGGTCACT